GGTCTTATTACTGCTGGACCTCAAACCACAGATGGAAAATGCTGTATTGCTAGTCTGAGGAATTCTCTGGTGGAATTCACTGGCTCTTCCTTTGCCTTAAACCAGAGAGTGTTTCACAAGGACCAGTGAAGCCTTCATTGCAGCTATGGTGAGTAGCAAGGAGTACCTGGACAGCACCACCTAATTCAGAAATAAGGCATTAGTTTCTCATGATATTGATAGTGCCATAGTTCAAGGATTTTCTCCTAGGATATAAGTATCAACTGAGAAATTAATTTAAAAAATTGAGATAACATTGAATATATCTTGCATAAGAAATCTAATAGATTCCTAATTTTAATTAAGAAAAAAAAAAAGCCTGGATGGTCATAGCACATTGTATTACAGGACCCTTTACTTCTATGTCAAACTGGATAACTCTCTCCTTTACTTGTCTCCCTTTACCAAGAGATAATGTGACCCAGTAAGAAAGACCTGGGATTATGGAGCAAAATGATCATGGTGTGAACCATAGCTCTGCTGAACCAGCTCTGTGATCCTGACCTAGTGACTCAGCCTGCGTTGTTTCTGTTTCGCCCCAGATAGTGGTGGCCTGGTTCTATTAGTTATAAGCTGGATAACCTTAGACAAATTGGCTTGATAGTGTAAAGTAAATTACTTAAAAGTCTTTCTTTCTTAACTTTCCCTCCTCCATCTCTGTACTCCATCTTTGTACTCCTCCATCTCTGCTTGATTTGCTCTCTAGTTTTGAACTCTCATCTAGGTATATTATTTGCACTCCCAGGGAAGATTCTGATTGAGAACCAAATTTTCCTTTTTTTTTTTATTTTGCATTTTCTCTCATTTACTCCCATATTTCATGAAGTCGTATTTAAGAAAGTTTTAAAACTGAAGGTTCTTGGGAAGTTAAAGAGGTTAATTTGATTCTTACTATTTTGAATTATTATCAACATTATATTACATAGTGTGTAAGCCAACACCCCGTTCAACACATAATTATCGTCCTTGTTTTTGAATGTATATACTGAGTCTCTGGTATACTAAGAACTTTAAGGTCACATAGCCTAAAAGAGTTTTAAATCGTATGAAAAGACACATGGTACTTTACCACAAAGCCATCAGTTGGCATGGCCACATCTAATATATGTGAATATGCACACTTTTGATAGCTCCAGATGGTGGTCAGTGTCAGTCACATGGAAGACTCAACTGAGTGTCAGCATCCTAACTTTTTCCTGGTCCAGCCCCAATTTTTGCAGACATTTGGGGAGTGAATCAATAGGCTCTCTCTCCCTCTCAATATATTTTTCTTTCTTTATTTAAGGTTAATATAATTAAACAAAATAAATAATACAATGTAATATAAATACATTTTAGGCAATTTAAATTACCAAGTAATGCTGTTTTACTAACCTAAATGCTTTAAGATCTTTTATGCAATGGGTTAAATACTCTTCATCCTGCGGCTGTCATTGTAGTGCAATATTAAGACACTGCTTGCTACACCAGCATTCCTTGTTGGAGTATCACTTTGATTTCCCACTACCTTGCTTCTAATATACTTTCTGCTGTTGTGCCTGAGAAAATAGCTACAGATGCCCAAGTGCATGGATCTTGTCCACCCAGGTTGTACACCCAAATGGAATTCCTGGCTCTTGTATTGTGGCTCTTGTAGCCATTTGGGGAGTGAACCAGCAGGTGGAAGATCTCTCATTTTCTCTCCTTCTCTCTTCCAAATAAATAAGCAAATAAATAAATGAATCTTTTAAAAAATAACAACAGGATAAACCTCACTCTTAATCCTAAAATGCTAGCTTAGTCTTTGGTACGGATTTGGAATCTGTGAGTTAAAATGAAGTAATTGAGCTGAACTGTTTTGGCTGTACTGAATAAAATCCTTGTGCTCGGTGTATATGCAGTGTGTATAATGTGGATGAATATTAAAAACATGCTAAGTCAAAGGAAACACAAAATGTCATATATTATGTGAAGAACCCATATCCACAGGAATATTCTGAACAGATAAATCCATAGAATCAGAAAGTAAATTAGTGGTCTTTTGGGTTTGGGGAAAGAGAGGAAGAGGAGGAGGTGGCTCAGTAATAATAAGGATTTTATATTCAACTTGTGGAACTGTTTTCAAATTACATAGAAATCATGATTGTACATCATTTGAGTATAATAAATGCCACTGAATTATCCACTCTAAATTGGACAAATTTGTGTTAATGGAGATTTTGCCCCAGTAAATTAATACTGGTTTTAGAAAAGTTCAAGCTCTTGAATCCAACAGACTTGGAATTAGATCATGATCTCATTTTCTGTGTGATCTTTAGCAAGGTGTTTCAATCTGGTTAACCTTGACTTCAATTTTTTTCACAACCTCTATTTCCTTCAATGATGTAATCCACAAAGGTTACTAGTATTCTGCCAGAAAGCATTCTTATAAGGATCATAGGATATAACATACATATCAAAATTGCCAGCACTCTTTGGAGAGTGCACGTTTTCTCTCAACTTGTGCTGTCTTTCGACCTTCTTTACTGAAAAGGGACCAGGTGTTGAAAAACAAAATTTAAAAAGACTCAACAATTTAAAAAAAAAAAAAAAGGAAGAAATGGGCAAAGGACATCTCAGGCAATTTTCAAAAATGACCAATGGGCATATAAAAAACTGCTCAGGCTCACTAGCTATCAGGAAAAAGCAAATGAAAATAACAGTGATATAACTATCATACAACAATCAAAATGCAACAAGTGCTGGTGAGGATCTGGGGAAAGAGATACCTTGGTAGGAAGGTAAATTTTATAACCATTATAGGAGATAATATGGAGATTCCTCAGAGAGCTGCTGTATCTACTCTTGAGAATTTACTCAAGCAAAATTAAGTCACGACTGGGCATTTACTCAGCAAAATGAGGATGAGTTATCTCTGCTTCGATGTTTATTGCAGCTCAGCTTACAATTGCTAAGATATGAAATCAGCCCAGATGTTCATCAACTGATTACTGGATAAAGGAAACATGGTATATATACACAATGAAGCACTACTCAGCCACAAAAAGGAATGATAGCCCGTCTTTTGCAACAAAATGGATGCAGCTGGAAATGATTATGTCTAGTGAAATCAGCCAGTCCCTGCCCCCCAGTAAAACAGATATCACGTGCTTCGCCTGATCTGTGGTACCTAATATAAGAGTGCAAAAATATGTTTTCTTCATGAACAAAATTGACATTTTGAGATTTCATTGCTGTTTGCACAATGTGTCTATGCTCTTGAAGAACAGTGGTTCTGCTTATTTGCTTTTGCTTGCTGTCTTTTGAATACTGAACCTAATGGAGTGTGAAGCTCATGATTGTGAAGTGAACCAAAAGCGTAGCATTGCAGTAATTACAAAGAAGAGAGAGAAACAAGGAAAGAGGAAGGTGGGTAAAAACGCAGGCTGGAGTCAGGGTAGGTTGGAAAGTATCTCTGTGCTCCGAAATGCATTGTGAAATAAATGAAGTTTTTTCACCTTCAACAAGTGAAATAATTCAAAAAAGGAAAAGAAGCTATATACTTGAACATTTAAAGGAAATTTTGAGAAGATAAAATGAATTTAAGCTTCAGAGAAAGGAAAAGATAATGCAGCAGTTGAAAGCTATCATATTTTTGTAGTGGAGTGTCTAGGTATGCCTAGAAGATTTTAGAGAGTCATGTCTTCTGTCTTATCAATAATGCTGTATGATGGGATTCTCTAGGACACTCAAGTGTATCTGCTTCTTTGCTGATGGGCATTCTATTGCACACACTTTGATTACATTCTTCCTGTGAGATCCTCAAATCAAGAGAAGGCTTAAATTTATTTATGAGCTAGAAATGAATTGTTTTACAATATCTTCTCGTGGCCATTATAGAATTTGTTCTTCTGAAATCAAATCAAATTAAATGTAAGGGATAGCACATATAAATGCCATTCATTGAATGAAGCCACATCCATTTCATAGTCTGTGGAAATGATGTCTTCCCCGGTGTTCAGATTGTCGGTGGAGAAGTGAGAAGTAAAAGCACTTAAGAAAGTTTTAGTGGACATGGATTTTCATCCTAGCATTGATATTAGCCTTGTTTCGCAGAACAAAGCCTTGCCTTTGGGGGTTTAGTAATCTAAAGTGAGGAATGGAGATAATAAAATCTAATCCTAACAGTTTAAAGTGCTGCTTGAATTATCCTGCATGGAGTTACTTAGTACTTAGCAAACAACCAGAATAAGTTTTTTCTCCTTACACTGCAAACTTCAAAAAATATACTGTGACAACTTTCATAACTATAATAGCCAAGAACTTTCATGGATTATTAGAGTCCCAGGAATGCTTACTTAGTGTTTTATTAAATCCTTACCTCAAATCTTCATGCTAAACATTGTCATATCCAGTTAACTGTAGTGGAACATGAAGCTCAGAGAAGTTACATAATATGTTCCAGTGGATCTGCTACAAAGTGTGAAAGCTGAAATCCCAACCTAAGTATCCCCGACAATGACACTTGCACACATCATCCTCCAAAAGACTGGGGGTGCATCCATCTGCAGTCTTTTGAACTCAATGTTTGCAAAATGTCGCAGACACTGAAGTGCAGAAATCTGGTTTGCCTACAGACTCCTAACTTCAGAGAGACACTTTGTGAACTTTGTTTCCTTAGACCTAGGGAGACCACTCATAGGATGCCCTACCTTGGAGTCTTATTTTCCAGAATGATGGTTTCTAAATAGACCCAGAATAAAATAGGTATGCGTATGAATCTTACTGGATGCTGATGGACAGTTAAGATGATTGCTGCATCGTTGGATAAAGCTTGACTCAAGAAAAGTCATATGTAAAATACATTTCAAAGTATGGCTCATCTTCAAGGATGCAACTGGCACTGATATTCTTGGCATTCATTGAGAACACCCCAGTCTGCTTAGGTAATGGATTTCTTAGGGCTAGTCATTAATAGGCTTCCTGCTTCCCTCCTCTGACAGGCCCGGCTGTGAGATACAGTAAGTTCAAGATGTCAGAGGCCAGGCCGCCTCCCCTGCTCGGGCAGCACACAACACACATCCTGAAGGAGGTTCTCAGATATGATGACATGGCTATAGCAGAGCTGTTTAATGCTGGAGTGGTGACTCAACATGAAGCCAAGTGACAAAGAAGAAATATACATTCTCCAAACCACCATTAAACACATTTTGCTGGCGAAGACAACATTCTGAGCCCTTCTCTCAATGCTGAGGCCACTGAAAGAAGAATCAACATAACTTCAGATTGCCTACCTGGCAACAACTGGATGACCCTGGAATCAAGGATCTACTGCCTTTTAAATGTACTACGTCTTCTGTTTTCTCACATTTTAAATTTAATTGTGAATATGTAGAATTGTAAAAATATGGGGGAAATCGGTGGGGGAGAAAGGGGACTTGGAGATAGGTAAGGGAAATCCCAGAGCCTGTGGAATTATGTCATAAGATAATTTAAAGATATATATGAAAAAAAAAGAATACTATACCAAAAAAAGGAATTTAAAAAATAAAGATATTGGTACTTACCACAAAAAAATTATGATTATTAGCAGTGACAAATGTACATCTGCTTAATCTACCAAATAAATATATATAAAAGCATCACATGATACCCTAAAAATACATATTATTATTTGTTGTTGATTAAAATAAGACTTTAAGATGAAAATGCACAGTTTTTTTCCTGGATATATATATTCCTTTTTCTAATTTTCTCAAAGCTCTAAATGTTTGCCCCTCCAGCCACACAGGCCTGAGAAAGAAGGGCTCTCTTGATGTGTTCTACTTGTACATAAAGTACTCATTTAAGTTTTTGTTAGCAAGTCAGAACAGTAAGCAGAATGGCAGGCTCTTTGATTGCTTTTAAACAAAATAACTTAATTTTAAACTCATAAATGCTTTGTTAGCCTGTAATTTAAACCATGGACCTTGCTGATGTCCATTATAAAACTGAGCTCCATTCTTCTTTGTGGGAGTAAATGTTTGTTTTATGTTGTATTTCTTGTGATTTCATGATACACAACAAGACACCAATTTCCCCCAATGCATACAGCAGTGTAAATATCTATTTGTATGGGGATGTGGGGTCATTTCTTCGATTGACACCTTAGTTTTGAGTCATGCTTGAATTCAACAGGTTTTAAATGTGTAACAGTTTTAAAGGTATAACTGTTGACAAATAGAGCAACAGTAGCATACACTTTTTTGTAGTCTAAGCATCCTCCGTAGATGACTGTATCATCTTTAACACATCAGTTAATTCAGCTCATAAAAGAATCTTCTATACAGAGGTAAAAAGTGAGTAAGATACCTGTTCAGGAGACAATGTCAATCAGGACTGCCATGACGAGGTAAGACCAGGGAATTGGACCCCCATGGTCAATATCCTGATGTGACCTCAACTCGTTGCTCTTAGGTACACATATTTTAAAAGCAGTGTGTTGCATGCCAACCAGTAACTGAAAGCTAAATTACAGATGTTCATCTTTCAGCTATGACTTAGTTTATTTTCTTTTTGTGTTCCTTCCCATTGGAATGAGTTGAGTCAATTATCCATGCTGTAAGACCCAGTATGTTTCTAGAATCAAGAGTCCCAAATGGGTAGGAAGCTTGTCTGTTCACAATTCCTAGTGGCATATTTTTTACTATCTAATACTTTCTGGAAGAGTTTTTGTTCTCCTTGCTTTGCTCTGTGTGGACACGTCACTGAAGAACTCCTGCTGTGAGCTGGCTACTTAGAATTTCATGACACCCCAATGAACAGATCCCTCCTGCAGTACTTCTCTCAGTGTCTGATTCACAGATACATATTTGGAGACAATTACTTTAGGACAGGAGCTAAAATATTTTTTAAAAATATTTGGGTCACAAAAAATCCAAAATATTCTATTTTATTTCACCTACTGATTCGGGTTGATAGCATTTAATAAAAATACTCAGCTATTGAAAGTGACTTTATGGATTTGAGTAGCTCATGTGCAGGGGCCAGAAAATGCCTCAACAATTTCTGAGCAATTAATAATGTAATTCTTGGATATATCAGAAGCACTGTTGAAATACTGATATCTTAGTATAATCATATATATAGCTATCCATATTTCTAACTATTCAAAATGATCCAAGGCAACTTTCAACCCAGTGGTCACCTGACAGAAAGCATATACTCTATCATAGCAAAATAAATAGTTCAGAATATATTTCAAGTTCAGATGGATAATTAGTCCAGAACGAAGCATTAAGCTTACTGAAATTTTTAGCAATATGCTCCAGATCAAGTTATGCTTTATAAACAAATGTGCTGTTTTAATTATCAGAGCCTATTATCTTACATATTCTCCAAACTAAACACACTACTAAGCTACCACCATATGCTCAAGTTCAGTTTGTGTCAAGGCCTGCCTTCTGGAAGATTTGTATCTGAGGTTGACCTAGAAAACTCCTCGAAATTTATTGGGTAAATCATTATGAAATTGGAGGATCTTCTACAAACAAACAGGTCTCTTTCTTTTCAGTTTTTCTTTTCACTCCAAACTTTTTAATGTTATGATTTTCTGACCAATAATTCATGACACTTTGAGCAAGCAATGCTACATTTAGATACTTACCAAAAGAAAATGAACATTGATGCAGTTTGTATGAGTACAATAACTTTGTGTGACCTTGTCTTTGACTTATCTCCTAGAGTTAGAAATACAGTCATGAATTAAGATCAAAAAAGAGGTTGCATATGGGTCATTTCAAACTAGGACCTAGCTACAAAGCCTGAAGATATCTTGCCAAGGAGAATTTTTGCATGAACACCTCATGACTCTTACTATCAGCCTTCTTAGGGACTTCTTGCCCACTCATAATTCATCTGAATTTGTTATATATTTTACTTTTGAAAATTGTCATTGTTATATTTCATGATAAAATTTTTGTAGTATAGGAATTCTCTCTCATCTCTCACAGACACAAGCATTCAGTTACAGGTCCATGTATTCAAATATGGATATCAAAACCTGTGGCTGACCTTCAGGAAAAAAGGATTTACTCAGTAATTTGGCATGTAACTGTGGTCATTTTGTCCATGACTTCACCTCCACAAGGAAGATTGAATTAATTTCTGGATGGGGTGGTTCTTTAACGACAAGCTGCCACTTCTCCTTAAACTCATGGAAACAAGTAAAGGGGGACTCCTGATTCCATTCTGTCTATACAGTGTCATCAACTTATTACTTTTATCTCACATGGCCCAGTTTTAAAGGAATAAAAAACTAAGTAAAACAAAACATTTGACAGGATCTAGACTGCTTGTCCCAACCACAGACACTGGAAGAACTAACCAGCCATAGCCTTGTAACAAGGATTGTAGGCAATATTTTATCAGAAAAGGGAGTGATGGTGAGTCTGCTGTACACTACCCTTGGCTTTAAAAGTAATTTCTTGCTTTTTCTTAATGCAAGGCAACTTAGTTAATCTTTAGGTAATGGCGTGGGTTTGTGGTAGAATAGCTCCAGAACTGTCTTTGTGAATACCTGGGTTTTGCCCTCTCTCAAAAAGGGTGATGGAATCCTCCTAAGTGCATTTGCTTTTTTCTTCCAATGGGACAAAAACCACTTTGACATATCCCGACCTATCCTTCACCCTTTCTTTTTTTTTTTTTTTTCGAATTAACCACATGACAGTATGTTGAACTGAATTGGTTGTTTTGGCTTCTGACCACATAGATTGAAAAATAAAACGGTGTTTTTCTGCCCCATCCTGTAACCCGCACCCTTTCCTCTCAGCCAGACCTTTTGCAAAAGTCATGCAGCAGGACATTTAACTTCAGAACACGTAACCGGGGTGTTGGGAAAACAGAACCCCATGTGAAAGAGCCAGAGGAAGATAGTTTTTTTTTTCCAGCTCCTTTATCTCTTTAACTTGGATTTCCATAGCATGTCTTAATATGTAGCAAGACAACCTGTATAATGCAAATTCATCCTGATAGATTTATGTTTTTTTAGATTTTACAAATAACTCCATAGCTGTTTTCAATGCAAACTTTGAAATAGTTACCAATGTACATGTTCTTTATAACCCTCGTAAAGATCAAGAAAATTGCAGTTCTGATTTTGATGAGATTGTTAAAGGAGTTATTTGTAGAAGTAGGAGAATAAACCCTGTCTCTCTCTCTCTCTCTTTTTGCTGTTTTGGATTGTCCTTATGTATAGTTTGGCCAAACATGCTTGCAATGGCTTTGACACAGACCACAGGGAAAACAATCCCCCTTCCACCAACACACACACACACACACACACACACACACACACACACACACACACACCCCTCTGGAAATAGTACCTGGAACACCAAGAATATTCTACATTTGCTTAACAGAAGCAGGCACTAGGAAATCATTGGTCAACAGAAAAGCATAGCACCTCATTTCAACATCACGAAGCAACCAGATGTGGTCGCTTGTTCTTGTCCTTAATGCTTTGAGTTCAGGCTTCTTATCTTCTGAGACTAAGGATTTGTCTTATTTTTAGTTTTAAATTTTGAAATTGGGAAGAAACTTCACTAAATAAGTATGGGTCCGGTACACAGGCCAAAGGTAATGATCAAGTCTTATAGATGGATTAATTATAAGAACTCACCACAACCATAAACATAGAGAGGTGGATGGTGGTGATAGAAGTTCAGTGTTATATATAATTGCTCTCATACAACCGAGGTGACGTGAAGTGAAATGAGTAGCCTCATGAATTACTGTGTGGGTGTTTTTAATTCCCAGATAAATAGTATACCATATTAATGGAGGAAGAGTGTTGTTACTTCTATTTTCAACCAAAATGGGGTATATACTATATACTATATATAATATATATAGTATACACTAGTCATCCATGTTTTCAGTAAATGAAGAATTTATATGGTACACACCATTATGTAAATTGGAAAATTAAAATTCGTATGATTCTTTCCCATAGCCCACAGATAAGAGCTCATCAAAACCCAACACCTTGATTTCATCTTAGGATATTCTAAGTAAAGAACCCAGCTGCACCATGCTGCACTGGGTTTGCCTACCAGAACTGTGGGCTACTATGTGCATGTTGTTTTAAACCTCTAATGCTGGGATAGGTTGTTCAGCAATAAAAAATGAATGTCTTAACTAATATTCTGTACCTGGTCCAGTATCCATTCCAGCATTCCTTGACACATTCATTTTTTTTTTAGTCTCTTCCCCAATCTGTATCCATTTCCCCATCATTATTTATGAGTCTGACATTTTTAGAAGGATTTTTGACACTTACTTTTAGGAATGGTGCTCAATTCAATTTTGCGTATTCTCATTACTAGAATAAGATATTGCATTCTTGGCAAGAAACTTCACAAGTGATTTCGGATTATGTTGATTATATCAGTGTATCACAGCAGAAGGTATGTGATGTTACTATATAACATTACTGAAGATTTTATCTTTGATCACTTCATTAAAATGATT